TGTACACGGGTGAGGGACCACTGCTATTGACTCCTAAACAACAGACCTACAGCGCAAGACCCGGCGACCAGACTATATACAACAGCTAAATATACGACTTTCAGAACACAGGTTGCGGGTTCAACTACACACGGGTCCACAAGAGTACTGTACACGGGTGAGGGGGAGGTCTAGGGATCGAGCCCTGGGTGCTGCATCTGCCACAGTAAAGTTGAAAACCGTTTCAATTTGCTTACTTGCACGAGGGATGGAAGGTTAATCAAAACTGACGGGCTACTGCAACCTTCTGTTGGTGTTCCTCATGTGCAATGGTTTGTGCTGCCATAAACATGGAACTGTTATTGGTTGCCCCTCCAGCCGCAGCCCTTTGTTTGTGCTGCCTCTCACCCCCTCCCTGCCCTTCTCTTCTTCTTGTCCTTTTGGGTGTGGATTACTATCAAACTTCTCATCTTCGTGTATACAATACCGATTTGCACACAAGTTAAGCCCCTTACTGGACTCATCGTACGGCCTCTCAAAGGCAGCTTTATCTCCTGCTTTCTTGGGTGTCTCTTTGATCTCTTGTCCTGAGAGCCTCACGCCTGGGATGTACCTTGATGGTAGCTGAATGGTATGCATGCCTACAATTGGAAAGAATTTAGCTAATCAATTGCAATGGTAATGAACTAGTTCAGTCTAGTTGTGAAAATAATATTGCTTCTCCTTTCTTTCTTTTTCTCTCTTTCCTGCAGCTTGTTGGTCTGCTTAACAGTTTGTTCGTGTGTTTGCCCACTGCTCTTCTTTATGGTTCCAATTCTTTTGTGACAGGCTGTTCCAAAGCAACGGTATGAGAAAGTCACAATTGTTGAAGGGATGACCACCCCCGAGGCAGTGATTTCACTACCGAGTCTGTATGATAAAATCGCTACTGGATGCCCATATGGACTACAAAAGCAGGTTTGCGTGATCCCTGAAGAAGACACTCGTCGTACAATTCCCTGGTGCGCTCTCTTCTCCAAGCTGGAGCTCCTGTGACTGCTTGTTCATTGGGCTGTCCATGTTATGCTGGACTGTATGAGATGAAAATGTGGAAAGATAATGGTGTGGATTTCGTTGCCTGATCATGTCAATAAACCTGGCGAGTCCTATGTGAGTCATGTGGATTATGGTTTGTTGTTGTTCTAAACCAAAGTCGATCAATCACAAGTAACATTAACGTGCAAAGCTGGCCATTACTCTCAAACGAACTGAAGTGTTTCTGATTCACAGGCGCTAACCCGAATATTATCCGCTCTCTTGTAGTTGACATGACGGATGAACCTTCAAAAGGGTGCTCCATCATTGGCGATCCGTCGTTCCATGTGGGGTTACACCCGGTAAATTAAGAAGGTAAACAATCTGAAAGGAGACTCTGGGTGCATGTTATGAACGTTTGGGGGTTACGTCCGGTAAATAAAGGAAGTAAACAATCTGAAAGAAGAGTCTAGGTGTATGTTATTCACCTACCCCATGGTATCTCACCTGTGTTTTATGAACGCGGTTTGGCCATGTGGACGAGGTTCTCTGTTTGTTGCAGCACGTGGTCAACCAAATTCATGTGTTTTGATGACATCAATCGATTCATGACCATGCTGCAATGAACCACTTGTATTGACACTCCAACAATCAGAGTACACACGAAATCCACACCAAAGTCCAGAGATAGACAGACGTCTTCAGCCATATATAGCTGCCAGATGGGCAGAAGTGACCCTGGCTGTGTCCTGTCTTTCTTAGCCACCACTGCCGTACCTTTGTTTCTGTTGTGTATTTTTTTTCTTTTTTTTAATACATTAAACCACTCCTGTTCTTTTGCTGTTTTCCTCCAACGTGTGCGCTGCGCTGGTATACAAACGGTATTGATGTCAGTTTGGCCTATGGGCCCATGAGAGGCCTGCTGCGCCTCGCAGGATCAACCCTGCGCTTGTTTGACAAGTTGGGGGAAGGATCTCAAGAGAATTGACAAAAGAGTGGGGGTTAAATCAAATGCTCTTGAACTATTTGTTTGCACAATTAATATTTTTGTTATGATCCTGGCTATCTTGCAGTGCACAAAGAAAGACAATGCGGTTCAATTGAAACTGGAATGAAGGAACTGTTACGATCCTGGTCATTTCCCAAGTGCAAATTCACAATGAAAGACAATGCCACCAAATTGCGAAAGAAATGAAAGCACTTGCAAAGAGATAAAGACCAGAGGAGAGAGAAAGAAGAAGAAGAAGAAGAAGAAGAAGAAGAAGAAGAAGAAGAAGAAGAAGAAGATATGCACCAGCAAGACCAATGACAATTCCCCCTTCTCTCTCCACCTTCCTTCTCCTCCTTCTCTTCACCAATCTTATTCTTCCCTCAATAATAATAATAACACTGAATGGATGAACCAGAATCAATATCCGAAGTTCCCTCTTACTGCTGACTCAACTCAACAACAACAACAACAACAACAACAACAACAACCAGTCCACCATAGCTATGGCTTCCCTCCTTCAGCCTCCTCTCTCATGCATAGGCTATGACGGACTACTCCAAGCAGCTAGGGTGCTGTGCTGATGTCCAAAGGACAACCCAAGAAGCTATGGTGCTGCGCTGATGTCCAAAGGACAACGCAGAGCAGCTATGCCGCTGCTGACTTGGTCCGCTATGCCTGACTCTGCCTCGAGCTTCYCTGGTGCCGCACTACCCCAACTGGGGCCTTCCAGATGCAGCGCCCAACAAGRTGATGAARATGGTGTCTHCCATAGCCAGGTAAGTGCCCCGCCACTCTCCTACYATGCCCCCTTCTTCCTCCTCCTCAAGCTGGASTGCTCGCCATAGCCAGGCTGAGCTCCAGCGGCCCTTCACCTCCAAGCAGCGCTGCACCAGACCAGCGCTGCGCTCCAGCAGCATGTCGCCAATCCTTGCACACCGCAAATGAGGAAGAGCTCTTTGCTCTTCCTGGAGATATAGTGGCCTACCGGCCTCCTGGGTGGTGACTTCCAGGCCGAGCGGCCTCCCAGCAACCGGTACCTCCTCCCTTTCGGAGGGAAACATCATTGCAGGCTCTGCTATCCTCCGCACAGGCCCTAGACCCGGGCTACTTGGACTGGTACCGGCCTACCGCTATCCTACCGCTACTGGGCCTCTAAAAACGCCAACTTTTTGTCGTCTTCTGCTCGGCCTCCAGTACCCAACACCCCTACCACTACTTTGAGTGGTACCGGCCTAGCTGCTACTTGAGTGTTTTTCCCCGCTGTTCTAAGTGTTGCGGGCCTACCCCCGCTACTTGAGTGTTTTCCCCCCTGCAACCCTCAAAGTCACGGCCACAGGTAAGTACCGGCCCTGCGGGGCCCTTCAACCAACAAGTACCCTTGCGGGTCATACACACACTCAGCGGACAAGCACTCAGACAGGCATGCAAACCAGCAGGCACGCACACACACACAGACATGGAAATCACAGCAGAATGCGGGAATTTCAGCAAGGCATTCATTCCAGCGGCAAATCCCAGAAATCAGCAGTGTTCTCAGTCTGTGTTTTTGGCGGGTCATTACAGAACTTGGAAAGAGGAATAGACAAAGAAAGAAGAAGAAATAAGAATGGAAGAAGAAGAAGTTGATGAACACCACTAAGCACCAATGCCAATGCCCTTTCAACGGCCACCATCTTCGTCCTCCAACAACTCCCCCAACCTCTCATTAATGATAATAATAATAATAACAATGAAAGAATGAACCAGAACCATTGTCTGAACCCCCCCCTTACTGACCGCCACTCAAGAAGTCCATCATAGCCATCCCACACCTCCTCCTTCTACTACGTATAGCCGGTGGATATGGAGGACCATCGGAGTGAGCTCCGATGTTCAAAGGACAACGCAAAGCCACTATTTCTCTCCTGCTGTGGCTGTGATGCCTCCTACCCCTCCCAGAGTCTTCCTTCCATGTATTACCCCACTTGGGGCCTTCCAGTTGCAGTGCCAACCAAGAAGAGAAAGTACAGTCCACCATAGCCGGGTAAGCTCCCCCGTCACTTTCCTCCTTGCTCACCTTCTTCCTCCTACTAGTCTTTCTCCCTGGATGCTCCTCCTTAGTCCTCTCCATCGTAGGGGTGGAGCGCAAAAGCGCAAAGCCCGCCTCTTCCTCGCCCAGCGCTGCTTATGCTGGGTGGTCGCTCCAGGAGCGAGCCACCAAGCTGCACGCCCACAAATGAGGCGGAGCACTTCGCCTCCCAACTTGATATAACATCGAAGTGCCTCCTCGCGCAGTTGCTTCTATGCCGCGCAGCTTCCAAGTCTACCGGTGCCTCCCAATTTCGGAGGGAAACAACATTGCAGTCTCCTTCAGGCTCTAGAATCAGGCTACGTGGACCAGTACCTTTTCCCCTAAGCCTACCGGACTCTTAGCTTCTACCCTGGCCTCCAGGAACTAACTTGTTGTCTTCTTCTGCCTACCTACCCGCTGGTTGAGTGTTTCTGCCAACTTCTGGCCTTCGCGGACGTTCCCTATTCAACTACCCAGCTGCAACCCCGCACACATACACACATATGGCCACAGGTAAGTACCAGGCCTGCGAGCCTTTCCAGCACACAGGTTCCCCAGCGGGTCCCACAAAGACACATGCAATCATACAGGCAGGCAAACACATGGAAACTCAGCAATCATGCACACATAAAATCTCAGCAGAATACAGGAATCTCAGCAAGTCAGTCGAACGAGCAACAAAATCCAGAAAACAGCAAGTTTCTCAGTCTGCAATTTTGTAGGCCATTACAATTTGTTTTTTTATTTGGCAATTCTTGCCCACATTGATGGTCACCATCACTGTATTGCTTGTCATTCCCACATGTCCGAGTTGTTGTTGATGATCTCATGCACGTCGGTGGAGGTGTGGCAGTGCTTTTCATCCCTCTCCCCCGCACTCATAGACAGACTAATTGAAATAAGGGTATCCAGTGCAGGCACTGACATTATGCGGAGATGGATGTGTAGGTTTCCTGATCACGAGATGGTGCTTTCAACCTTTTATATAGCGCCGGGAAAAGTGTGGGAATCCTGTCCTCGAGGCACTTTGGTTCGCATGCTTGCGCAGCTCAAAGAAGAGTTCAACCTGGTGAGTGAGACCTTTGCCGGGGCAACTTCAATTTGACGTCACACAATTTCCCCTCTGTTTTGTTTTGCTCCCCCTTCTGCTCACATGGCGGTCAGGATGTAACGTGCTGACGTGGATCTACCGTTATCCAATCAATGACCACGGGATCGGCAAAACTGCCGAAGGAACACAATGCCTCTCTCTCTCTCTCTCTCTCTCTCTCTCTCTCTCTCTCTCTCTCTCTCTCTCTCTCTCTCTCTCACATATCAACGAACGAGAGGGGGAAAGGAAAAAGGAGGAATGAAGAAAAGGCGGAAAAATGCTGCTAAGAATCCGCTGCGATCACGGGACACACAGCAGGACCCTCCCGGGTTCAACCACGTGCATGGTAGTAGCTCACCTCGATCGCAAGCGTACCATGGATGGTGTTCTGGCGGAGGGCAGCAGGAAGATGGGTCCTGCTCTCGAACCACTTTAATCCAGCATCTCTCAGCGATGGGGTTGATCAGAAAAAAAAAAGAAGTGTCATGGGCAGGCCTGTTGTCCATCGACTGCGCCTTTCGGCCTAATCTTAGGCCCTGACTCACCCTCCGTGGACGAGAAGAAGCTGCAGGCTTTCATACATGGTGTTTTCCCCCTTTTTTGCCTTTTTGCTTGGGTAATTTAACCGTAATTACTAATTTTTGAATTTTTGTTCTGAGAAAGGGGCATTCCTTCTGCAAGCTAATTGCGATTTATTAGGGGACAGAAAACACTACTTGAGTAACTTGACCCAATTCATCATCCAATGACACATGGCACTTTCCTAAGCAAATTCATCCGTCAATGACACAATGCCACTTTCTCAACAAATTCACTTTCAGAATTGAATTCATTATCCAATGACACATCACAGTTTCACAGACCAGTTTGACTTAAAGGGAGAAGCCTAAAGGTGCCACTTTCTTCAACTAATTTCGCGAAAATGGAAAGACAAACACCGGAACAAAGAGAAACTGAAACGCGTACGCTGCTTCACATCCTCTTTCTGTGCACCGCGGGTCCACTTGTTTGGTTTTTGTTTCTCAAAATTGACACTGCACAGAGAAGACCAGCAAGGAGCATGGTCACACGAAGTGAGAACCGTTCTTTTTTTCTGTACGCAAAATGAGAGTGTCTCAGTGCCTGCATCCCAGTTTAAGTTTGGACTCTTTTACCCACACCTGCAATATTTCCTTTTCCCCCCTCCCAAAAGCAGGGTCTTGTGGTCCTGACACGTTTCAATTCTGGGAAGCATCAGTCCAGCTCCTGTTCCACCAGCAAGTGAAAACATAATACAGTAATGCCCAACTTCAGGCTTCAGCTCATTATGGCCGCAGGAACCCCCAACACCATTGATTGCCCCCCTTCAGGGGGATTGGCTGTTGGAAACGCCCATGCAAAAGTTCAGTCACCCGCCCCATATCTATGACCCCTACCAACATCTTCACCACTTGCTAAATTTTATCTGTTGTGAGGTCTGTGGTGTGTGCTGTCAAACATCTATGCTCTGGTTATATGTGATGCTGCCTCTATGTTCACCTGTGATAGACCACGTTATTCTTTCATGCTGGCGTGCAATCAACATGACCTTTGCTATTGTGACTGTTTTGACGGGCATGGTCAGTATCAGCTGTCATGGGTGATTGTCGAATTTAGAATTTTCTATTTGGTTCCTCCTTTCATGAATACATTTATCCTACTGCTTCTCTGTGCCCTGCTGCCAGGGGTAGGCCTCACTCAAACGTGACGTTCCTGGTTCATCCAGCCTTTTTTTTTGGAAAAAAGAGTCTGTGTGCTCATACGTCCTGCCTGTGTGTAAAACAGGAGCTATGTACAGGTTTCGAACACGAATTCTAAAAAAAGAGTCTGCGTGCTCATACTTCGTGCCTGTGTGTAAAACAGGAGCTATATACAGGTTTCGAACACGAATTCTATCTGCTAAAACCAGCCACAGGGTGAGTAAGTGTGTTCTATATCTTTGACTACCTTGATGCAATCACAAATTCACAATCCTTGAAATAGAAAACAGTTGACAAGTTCAATAAGAGAAGGAGAAACTCTACACCAGACTGAATTTTGCCCCATGCCTCCCTCTTTTTTTTTTTTTTTTTTTTTTTTTTTTTTTTAACCACTACTGTCCACCAGTACCTTTCCAGTTTCAAAAGCAATTCTGCGCCAGGTAACGCGGAAGCCAAGCGGGTTCAGGCCACTGTTGATAAATTGAATCATCGGCCCGTTTTCCGTTTCGGCCTTTTTGTTTCGCCCGCAGCCGATAAATTGGAAAGGTACTGGTGGTTTAAGACACTATATTCGTATTCGTGGGGAGCCTCACGTGCTGGGAATTGTGTCCAGCGTCCCTTAACATTCCGTCTTTAAAAAATATTTTGCCCAGCAGCGTATCTGCGATTGGGAGACTTCTACTATAGTCTTCCGAATAGAATGCACGGGGTGCATTGTATTCATATACAATGCACATGCGTTATGATATGAATATAGGGTATCAACTTCCGAAAATGCGCCTTCCCCCCCAAAAAAAAAGAAAAGTATGTGCCTCATACAGGTACCTCCAGCCTTCCCGAAACAAGACCTTCAGGTAAGACACACACACACACACACACACAGAGAGAGAGAGAGAGAGAGAGAGAGAGAGAGAGAGAGAGAGAGAGAGAGAGAGAGAGAGAGAGGCACGCAGGTCACCAAGCACGCACACACACACATACTTATCCATTCCATCGGCAGAACTCAGAAATCAGCAGTGTTCTCAGTCTGTGTTATGGCGGGGCCATTACCAGTAAAAAAAATCAGCAGCACCTGGGCTTCAACACTGTGTTGGACACTCCATGCGGAAGCACTTCCACAGTCTTGTGCGTTGGAGAGGCGACCAAGTCGGTGGGAGTCAGCATAGTGCAGTGTAGTCAACAGCACTGGGCCCCATAGCCATAGCTGTAGTGTGAGAGAGGGGAAGACATTCTGAGAGACAAGCAAGGACTGTGAGGTGAGTGCGAGAGTAAAGAGAGAGAAGAGAGAGAGACTTACCTGCATGCTGAGTTGAGCGGCCATAGCCGCTGGGGATAAAGAACATAATCAAGTTTGTGTTGGTTTCAGAGATTCCTTTGACGGCGAGTGTCTCACGCGAGTGTGGTGTGATGTGGAACTCGTGTCTGAGTGTGCCATGCATGGTGGTCTCATTTGAACTGAAAGTCTGAAACTGATTAACTAAAATTGACAAAGAAGAGGAGGCCAGACGAAGTTGAGCATAGAATGTGAGAGAACCGGTGAGGAAGGAGTTCCACCGCATGTCCATAATTTTTCACCTGAAGGCCACTGCTATCCACAAGGACTAGCTGGGATTTAGATGATTCAAATACAAATAGTGAAGTCGTCATGCCTCCACACACTCATGCTGGGACGTTTTCACAGAGATGTAGCAGCAGCATTGATCTTCTGAGTTTGCTGCTTATCTGCTGCAGATTTCTCCCCAGCGTCAGTGCAGAATGCTAAATACCATTGCAGCATGGCAGTGCAGAATCCCAGATAGCATTGCAGCATGGAGCTGTTGCGTACATTTGTGTTTTTTTCCATCAGATTGCAAGTTGTGCGTCCTTTGTGTGTTGGGTCTACATTTGTTATCGAGCGCAGATGTGTTCCTTCTGCATAGCTAAGCAGTGAATAGTACTGAATACATTGTGTGTCAGTTTTAAACTAGCCGTAGAACATTGCGAACATGTCCATTCTGCATGGTAGCTGTCATGTCGGAACTCAGAAATGAGGGAACATAATATTTATGATCATTACGGCAAAGAAAAAGAAAATGAAATATGAAATCGAAAAAGAAGGTTTAAAAGGCATAGACCCAGTCACATGGATGGTTGACCTTTGTGGTGGATCTTAGAAATGCCAAGAACTGCATGTATTGGTTTAGTTTGGTCGTATGTGGAATTGTTTATCCATATTTGTAGGGAGGGCCCGGAGGGTTGTATACTTTGTAAAGATTTAATCATTTAAGGTATTTGATGTTTTAAGTTTTAAGTTTTAAACCACCAGTCCCTCCGAGTGTCTTATCCGGACCTGGATTGCCTCTGCCCGCCAGAAAAAACAAGACGCAGTCGCAAAATATGGTCTTTTTCAAGTTTTTCAGACTTTTCTTGATTTATTTGCCTGGCGCTCCCAGCCATTTTTCTCCGATTGGGCGACCCTGTTAACACAGCAGGGTAACCACTGTGTCGGAACAAAATCGCTGTTGAAAAAGGGACTGATGGCTCAAACTTTGAAGTCTTTTGTTTTCAGTGTGAGGTGTGCCTGACGGCAGACAAAGCAATGGTTTGATGTGGGAGGGATGTATGGAACTCTCTGGCACTGGCAGGGTGCTGCAGTAAGTGCACCCGAGGTAAATGTCTTTTCTCTTTCCCCTCCAACTGCGCTACTCATCTGGTAGTCTGTCCATTGTGTGCTCAGGCCTATGTGATTGCCATCAGGTGACTTGTTTTTCCCTTTCTGAATCCCTCAGTCCTGGCTGCCTCAGACAAGACCTTGGTCGGAGGGCAGCTGCATTACTGAACTCTGTATGTGCTAACTGTGTGATACATTCCAGGCCGGAAAGTGAGCTGAGATGGATGCCTATCGAATGTTCAAACTATGCATCTACAGGAGGCTTTAATCGTGTTGCCCCGCTGCTCTCTCGCATGAGTGAAACTTTGGCTAAAATGGGGATCATCGTTGATCTGGTAAGGACATTTTCTGGAGCCTGTGAATGTGAAACTGTAGTGCGTGTGTTGGTGTAATGTGTGTGTGTTTTGTCATGTTTGCTAAACACAACTCCACAAAAAGCACGACTGAACACAACTCCACAAAAAGCACGACTGAACACAACTCCACAAAAAGCACGACTGAACACAACTCCACAAAAAGCACGACTGTGCCAGACTGTTTCATTGGACTTTCACTGACTCATCAGGAGGTTGAACCCCAACCACCTGCCCGGGATGCATTTGACTGATCCGAAAGGACTCACCACGGCACCCAGAGTTAGCAATACTCCTTTAAAAGTGGTCAAGTTTAATCACACCAAACCTACAATCCTAACAGACTGTCGGTCCAAACCCCTGACAAGAATGGCAGAGAACTGGAAAACTGGTCTGTAACAGCCATAATACCCACTCTTTCACCACTGGCATGACTGCTAGTACGGTCCCGACCCTGGCGGCATTGATCCGCCTGAATGCAGAGCTTAACAAGGCCTATTGTGTGTTCAACTGTGTTGTCATGTTCACTATACACAAAGTCCAGAAAAAAAAGAAAAAGCATGACTATGCCAGACTGTTTCGTCAGACTTTCACCAACAACTCATCAGGAGTTTGAACGCCGACAGGCTGCACTTCACGGATGAAGGACTCACCACATCACGCACAGTTGGTGATAACCGCTTTACTCACACCACCCGGCAATCCTAGCCAACTGTTGGTGCAGACCCGAGACAAGAATGGCAGTAAGTGAGAAACTGGTATGTCACAGCTATGAAAACCACTCTACACACCTACTCAGTGTGTGTGGGCATGCGTCCGTGTGTGTGTATGCGTGTATCTGTGCATGTGTGAGTGCCAATCAAACATAACAACAAAGAATCAATTCTGTTCTCCTGGTTTTTTTTCCTTCATTTTTATTTTTGATTCTGTCGTGTGCGGCCACAAGCACACACACGCGCACTCGTGTACGTGTGTTGTCATATTCGCTATTTACTCAAAAAAAGCATAACTGTGCCAGACTGTTTCGTCTGACTTTTACCAACTCATCAGGAGGTTATGTGTGTGTGTGTGTGTGTGTGTGTGAGCGTGTGTGTGTGTGTGTGCCAATCAAACATAAAAACAAAGACTCAAACAGTGACAAACACACCTTTTTTGTTTGTTTGTTTGTTTGTTTGGTTTTTTTTTTTTTTTTT